AAAATTGGCTTTATTTTTATGCCACAGAATATTTTTCTCATGTTATATGATTTACCTAGTTGAATGTTAACCATAATACCGTTTCTTAGTGTTTTAATGTAGTATAGGTCCCATAAAAGTTTTCAAAATTAGAAATTGTCACATAAATAAAAGAAACCTAGAAAAGAATTAGTCACTCCTTTTTTAGTATTCCAGTTGTAATTCAGTAAATTTACAAGTAGCTTAAATGTGTCAGAAACTGATACTTTTGATATAAAAATTTTTCATTCAGATCTACTGGCAACCCTATGAGATAAACCTTTTGAGGCATTCATGCTCCAAGTTTGACTTAACTAAGACCATTGTTATAAAATGGCAGTACTAGATTTTTTGACTCCAGATATTACTTGTTTTAGGTTATCTCTTACAGTCAAAGGTACATACCCTGAAATAATCTTTGAATCTGCTGCAGTGCCTGATGTATAAGTAAATGGTGCACTGATGGGTTGCAAAAAGAGTGTGGTATAGAAATCAAATATAAGTTGAATATATATAACAAAAATGATAAAAATAATTTAGGGATTGTTAGAATGCTATTAGATGGTAGATCTGATTTTATTTACTGTTATAGACTTTAAAGAAGTGTCTTTATTCTGTTGAATATGATAGAATTCTATTTTTGAGTGTTTCAAAATTAAAAATGATTGGTAAATTCCTTTATAGAAAATTTTTTTTAAGTGTTGAAACTTCACACAAGCCATAGTAAAAATGCTTTTCGACATATTTACCTATTTACCTATGTTTTATCCTGATTACCACGATTATATTTGATTACATTTCTCTTATGAAAATTTAAATTTTTGTTTAATTTCAGCATTTCAGAGAAAAGCTGCCTTCATATGGAATGCGAAAGGTAAAATTTAATTTGATTTGCAAAGTAATTATGCAATTTATTTAAAAGCTCTGTGTCAAGAAAAATATAAATTAATGAACCTTCTCCTATAGGATATTATTAGACCTTAATTTTGTTCTTTTGAATTGTTGGAAAGTCAAAAAGAAAAAAGGGTCATGAAAGAATTTTCCTGATGTTTTTTCATATTTATGTACATAATTGAAATCTGTGGAGTTTAAAAAATGGAATTTTTTACTTTGGGTAAATAATTCAAGACCAAACACTTCAGTTAAAATCAAGGCACTACTAAAAATATAGTGCTTTAATTAATTACCCATTATAACACAGTCACCCCACGTAGAATAGTATAGTCCCTCATCCTTTTCTGTTCTCCCAATCTTATTTATTTATTTATTTTTTGCTCTTTATAGCATTTATTACCACCTGACATCTGTGTGTCTTCCCTTCCTAGGCCAATGTAAGTTCTTGAGTACAGGGTTTGTTTTGTTTGCTCTGTATCTCTTGACTCAAAACAGTGCCTGGCATTTTATAGACATCTAGTAAATAATTATTGAATGAATGAATTGTATTCCACTTTTCAGTATTTACCAGCTATAATTTCAGTGTTCAAACTTAAAACTTGTTTTGATATATAAAGTATGTTAGAATAGATGGGGAATTTTTAAATGGTAGGTTTTCACATTAAATTGTTTTGTAGATAAAAATAATCCGTAACACACTTTTGAAATGATGGTTTTGTTTATATAGTGAATATTACTAAAAATATTAATATATATCTAAAATTTTTAAGAAAGAAGATCTTCCCTAAATGTGAGGTTTTTCTAGATATCTAGAGTTTACCCATTTGATTTAGGTATTTAAAAACAGAATTATTTGAAAGGAAATCTTAAAATATGTTATATTCTTCCTTGTTACTAAAAGAATGTATAAAACTTGTTCTGCAGACAAAGCCATATTTATGAATTGTGATATAAGTTCCTGATATTCTCAATAGTTGTTTAGGCCAGGGGTTTGGTTTGTAGTCAGTAGCCCCATGTATCAGTATTCCTTTAATTTAATGTCAATTCCTATGCATGGAACTTAGGAGCTCTCATTCGTGTCAGTGTGTTTTTCTTGAATAGTGCCTTGGCTCTATTCTTTATAATTTGATGCTACTTATCTCTTAAAACTAGTAGATCCAGATATCTAAACTGCCAATATTGCATATCACAAAATTTAGAAAGCATTAATATGTTTATTAAGAACAATTACCTTCAGTTTGGTAGAATTTTGATTAATATCCTTTCAGACTTGGGCAATGCATGATATTTTTCACTTATTTTCCTTTTTGAAATAGGAATTGGTGAATTTAATTGATAACCATCAGGTAACTGTAATAAGTGGTGAAACTGGTTGTGGAAAAACCACTCAAGTTACTCAGTTCATTTTGGATAACTACATTGAAAGGGGAAAAGGATCTGCTTGCAGAATAGTTTGTACTCAGCCAAGAAGAATTAGTGCCATTTCAGTAAGTAATCTCTCAGTTTTAAAATTTTCCTTTTTTTTAAGTAATCTTGCTAGAATCTACTGATTTAGAAGGTTTAGGATGATTCTTAATTAGGCTTAGTATTTGTTGCTATGAGAGCAAATATTTGGTTGACAGATATTTGGTAATGAAGGCAAAAAGATTGAGTGACCTCTGTCTTACTGATAATAGATGTTTCTGAATTCAAGATAAATTATAAATCCAGAAAAATTGCATTATAAACCCAAAAGAATGAAAAATTGATATAATGTTTATAGAATTGATTTTAAGCTTCAAGTAATCTTCGTCATTGGATGCTTTAAATTTTACTTTGTTTATTTAATATTGTTTTCAATTCTGATTGTCTTTTTAGTGCACAAATACACTGAGTGGTGTTCAAAGTGGGAAACCTTGCCTTTTTTTAAATCTGCATTTCTATAGTCAGTGATTTTTGAATGCATCTACTCAATAAGAAGGAATTTATCATTGAGGAATAAATAAGGCTTATTTCAGGTTTATATTGTTAGCTTAAGTGATCTATCTTGACCATCTAATCTTGCTAAATTCAAAATTTTGAGAAGGCAAGCACAAAAAACAGTTATAAGTACGTGTTATTACAGGTTGAACATCTGAAATCCGAAATGCTCCAAAATCTGAAAACTTTTTGAGCAGTGCCAACAAATGCTCATTGGAGCATTTCAGATTTGGGATATTCAGATCTGGGATGCTTAACCAAAGGTAAATATAATGCAAATATTCCAGAATCCAGAAAAATTAGAAATCCCAAACACTTCTGGTCGCAGGCATTTCAGATGAGGTATAATCAATCTATACAAATAACATTGGTTTTTTGTATTTTTTATTGTTGTTGTTTTTAGTCAGATAACGTAGTTAAGTATTTGAGTTATATATTCTTTAAAGGTGTTTGGGGCTTCTTGTAACATTCAGTGTGTATACTAAATTTATTTCTATGTTATATATTATAATTCTGTGTGTAAATTTAAATTATGGAGTTTTATGGCTGTTTTTGGTTTTATGATGCTATTTATCACATCTACAACATTTAATATAGAATCTGTGGTTAGGAACTGCATTACTAATTATGGCAATATTTGGCAGTAAATATGGTGTCTATTTTTAGCTATAGTTTCTAAAAAATACTGTAAAAAGAAAAAGAGCAACAGTCTTCACCCTTTTATGGGGGATCATATTCCTGGAAATGGTGTAAGATCAGAGAATGTTTAAGAGTAAACCATTTTGTCATAACACAATTATGTAGTTAGACCTAAGTGTCATTTTTCTCTAATATATGGTAGTTACAATAGACATGGACAGTAGGAAAAAATGCTAACTAGGTTTTTTTTTTATTATTCCAAGATCTGTTGAAATGGGCAGGTTAATATGGTCTAAGTCAGTGTATCCTGGATATAGTGATTGGAAAGTTGTACATCTGAAGTATTATTTCTTAAAAATTAACCATGTGATTTTCTATTTCTGACCTCATATTATCCCTGTTCTGTCACAAGGTAACTGTTGGTTACTTTTAGTTACACAAATCAGTATTAGATTAAAGCATTTCATCTATCCAGAGCTTATCTTCGATAGCTATAACTTTCAAAACACAACCAAGAACTAGAAATTCAGCAACACCAGTTTCTACCACAAACAAAAAGAGAAAAAAGAAAAAAAAAAAGCATCAGCATGTACTTACCTTCAAATTACACACAAGTCTTACAAGTTTAGACCATGGTTTCCAACTCTTTTAGAAAAGAGTTAGCAGAAAAGAAATGGCAGAAAGAGAGGATGCTATAGAAAGGGACTTTGAAAATAGTGATGAGAGAGAATTTTACTTTGAAGGACTTTATAAGAGGGAATGAAATGTAAACATAAGCAAGTAATCTAGAGCTCTTAAGGGAGGCACACACGATTTTAGATTCCTCAGATTTTAATAAATATCTTTACTTTTTTAACTCATCTAAAAGCTGAAGAACAATTTTTCAGCAATCCCAGAATTTCATGGATGATAAGGGTGTTTGTTCTAAAGGAAATTGTATTTTCTTTGTAACTATTCTGTTTGATTTAAAGGTTGCGGAGAGAGTGGCTGCAGAAAGAGCAGAATCTTGTGGCAATGGTAATAGTACTGGATACCAAATTCGTCTCCAGAGGTAAGAAGTGTTCATTTCTTGTATACAGGTTGATTGTGGTAAAACTTTAAAGCTGGAGATTAAAAAGAAAGAAAATTTTTGCCATTTTTATGCTGGTTATGACTATAAGAAGTAACATTTAAAGCAATTTCAGCATAGGTGGTTTGCCACCACGAACTCATCTTTTAACCCCAAATCAATTTTGGATTATCTGTTTTAAATGTGCTTTTACATTTTGTAATGATTGGAAAAATAACTTTTTTCCTGGACATACATTAGTAGACCATCAGTCCCCCTGAAAGGATGTTGTCCTGTCCCTTTTGGTGCTACCTACCCATCCCTAACTGACTTTATTTATTGATTTTGGTATCTTTAATCCCCTTTCCAACTCCACTATACAGTACTTCTTTAGTCCTTTTCTGGAGCTCAGGATTCCATTTATTGTTTCAAATGAGCACACTTTCTGATCACTGAACCAGAAATTTAGGCCTTGTAAGTAATTCAGTCATTCTCGAAATTTTAATGGTTATGCCTTTAAAAAGAAATCATTAACATCATATCATGACAACAAAGATAATGTATAGTTAACTTGACTATAGTATTTCCCATTTCTCTATTGTGGTAGGTGTTTTTATAATTAAAAACTTAAGTATGAAAA